GGCCGAGCCCGCAATACAAGGAACTAAGATCTGAAGAGGGTGTAGATTGAGAAACCATTGGTCGACTTTAGTCTTATGTTCTCACAAAAACAGGCAAATATCAAGAAAGCACTTTCATTTAATTAATAAGCAATATGGGATGTGTATTTACAGACTGAAGTAATAAAAAATACTAGCAAGTAATGGAAACATCTGACTGAAAACAGGCAAACCAACCAATTAATCCTCTAACTACCATAGCGACAATTAGCTAGAGACGGTTTCATCTCCGGCACACATGGTTCGTACAACTCCAGACAAACACATTTCCAAGGACTTGCCAAGGATTTTTCAAGGACAAATTTCAGTTTTCAAGGACTAAGATTTATTTAATAAATCGACATTCTTTAACCCCCTCTGATCACCTTATTCGCAAAAACACGTCATGGAACCATTTACCTATTTTACTTCTTCAGCCATCATTGATCACGATATTTTTACTACTTTTCCGCAACGAGGCTTTGCAAAATGACTGTGTATGACTCAGTTGTAATTGCATCTGAGGTACAGAAATAGCATTTGAAATAAAGAAACAGAAATAAAATATTGTTCGTGCACAAAATGTCTTAACGTTACCCGTGAGTTTCACAGGTTCTTATACCGAGGATGAGCCAAATGTTCCTCGGCAAAATAATCTAATTTAACAGAAAAAAGTTGTCCGGCGTAAACAAGGTTGTGAATTTCAAAGACGTTTCAAGACAAGACCTAAAAAAGAAATCAAGTACTTTTCAAGGACCTAAACCGAATTCAAGGACTTTTCAAGACGACTAGTAAAATTCAAGACCTTTTCAAGATTGTACGAACCATGGGCACAGAAACAGACCTCATTCATTATTTCACTACGATGCCCGTCATCTTTGCACGCGCTTTACTGCCGTGAGGATTGATCGGATAACAGCAATGTCACGTGGTATTTCAGGGGGTAAAACGGTCGAGTTTGTTTATTCTCTCAAAACCAAACGATGATGCGAAATGCATGGTTCGAGTTTCGTCAAGTTTTACGTCATTATTGATTGCTGTGTTGACATCTGGGTGCCTAACCCTAACTAAACAATACTAAAACAATTGAAAGAATGGCATGTCACTGTTTCCTGCGACCAATTAGGAGACACCTTCCGAGCAGCTCCTACACTACTCCTTTTGTCCTGTGACCTGTGATCATGTGTTCTGTACCTGCCACATCTACAGTCGCCATTGCATCCAAAGAAGTAACAATGATCATTTCCACCCATAATTTGCCATTATCGTCTTTAAGATGAAAAATTATAAATTTTCTGCGATCGCGCGACCGCGACCCTGAGAAACCACGTGACGTCGCTTTAATCCCACCAGTAACGTGACGCGAAAGACTTGTCACGTGACCTCCAGCGCTGAGAGGTTCGCGGTAAACTCGGATCTAAAACTCGATACTGTCAAACACAAAGGATCGTGGAACAGAAAATTACAAAATGACTTGAAATCCGCTAAAATGTAACCTCGTTCCTACAGGGCTAGATCTTAATTTTCAGTTCAATGGCAAAGCTTTGCTTGTAAGAATTTTTCTACTAGCAAAAGCAGTAAATTCACAGGCTATTGTTTGTCTTCGAGGTCGAAAACCATCTAAAAAATGTGGGGTTTCTTAGACAGTATAGAAGGATAAAGCTGAAAAACCCGGCTTACTCACATAGTGGAACCGAGTATAAATCACGGTGCCGAGCTAAAATGTACATTGTAATATTGTAATAAAACAAATGAGCAGTGACTGACATGCCACCCGTTCCTCTCGTACAATCAGTCAATGTATGCATTGGTTTTTAGCCAAAAAATGGTAAAGATTCTTCAACAACGATCATCTTCTCTCTCAAATTTCCACTCGAGAAATGCTTACTCGCCAATTATTGCTAGAGGATTTTCTTTTGACTGGCAACTTCGGAAAACCACTCGGTTTTTGCGAGTTTGCGAGTGCTAATATCGAGCCCTGTAACCCTGGGAGGCCTGCTTTGCGCAAGTGGTGAAACACGATTCTTGAACGCTTCCGAGTTTTCTTCTGTTTTTGGGAAGTGGATTTGTGATTTTTCTGTTTCAGTTCGCCACTCGAAGTCTAATTTATTGAGTACCACGACTCTCTCAACTCTTTCAGTTACCGCAAAACGCATTTGGCCATTTCCGAGTTCCAAAAACTCTCACTTTCGAAACGAGGCCAAGTTCAAAACCTTTCTTGTGAAAATAAAGTTTATTTGTATGAGAATAAAAAATTATTTTCATATCAATGGCTTTACACTTAGCCTCGCTTTGAAACTGAGGCTTGAAAATGACCGATTGAAGACAAAAATCTGAAAGTCGTCAAAATAACCTCAGGACCTTGTTTTCAAACAGAAACTGCTGTTATTATAGTTTAGTCGTCAAGGCTTGACAATTCTTAAGATTGCTGTTTAACTACCACAGTAATTTACATGATAATACAGCAGGAACATCTCTCGCTCTACAAAATAAAAACACAATCACAATCACACACAACGTAGTTAACTACACGAAAATAAGGAAATACTCCGTTAAAAGAAAAGGCCTTGAAGCTTAAGTATTTCCAGCCTTAATTTTAAAGATGCACCCGGTACGTCGGAGGGAAACATATTATATAGAAGAATTTCGTTGGAGTATTTCAGGATTTTAGGGGAATGAATGCAGTGTTCAGTGTTGGAAATCATTGTAAGACTTGTAATGTAGAGGCCTTATTATAAACAAAAGCTTCGAGTGTGTTTGATCATCTCCGGCGAACAGAAACACTAAAAATCTTAATAATATTCTCGTTTAAGATGAAATACAATAAAATACAGTAAATAAATTTAAACAAAGTTTAACAAAATCCCTTCACAAAATCCAAACAATACTTAAAACCATCCACCTCTTTGAGGTAAATTTGGACGTGTACACATTTGAAAGCCTTCATTTAGGTACAATGGTATTACAGAACATAAACAAAGGATATTTTAAGTGAGCAACATAAAAAAGGGTGCCGGGTTGACAAAAACTTTGACAAGATGTACAAAATTCAAAACAGGCCGCACGTACCGACTGTAAAGATCATTAAATCAATACTTGGCCTAATAAGAAGTACAGTGTCTGATGGGCAAATTAAGCCGGGAACTGTGTTCTGCTAAAGGGGTTGAGATAATTTCAAGGTGTGAAACCCTTATATTAGTGACTGGACTTGCTGCAAAACACTGTAACCATCCGAACTACCTGATGGAGAGTTATCGATCACTCTATCGGAGTTACGAGAACAAAACGAACTCCTTTTTTAAATCATAGATAAGGTGTCTGTTTCTAATTTCTTTGCTGATCTACCAATTGTTAAACAAAACTCTTTTTTCAAAAGTCAATAGGTCTACTTGGCACAAAATGTCAGTGATATCTTAACTAAACAGCTTAAAAAGGGAATCAAGGTGGCGGGGAAATTAACAAAATACCTGTTTTATCCATGTCATGAGCGGGGATTAAACAGTAATACGAATTTTCGGAAGCGGGCATTTAACATGAGTGACTGAAGGAAAAGCCTCGTTTCCCAAAGTTTTGTATGGCAGCAGAAGAGAGATGATGCCGCAGAGAATGACGATTTTAAAACATAGGAGAAACAGAGCAGGAAGGCACAAAACAGGTTGCCCTAGTCTCAAGACACAGAAAGAAAGTGTATGGAACGTCCTACACATGCCTTACAAGGACTTCACAAATCTCGCTTCCCAGGGGGTACTCCGGGTAATTCTCGGTGGGGGTGTGTCGCCTAGTTCTCCAAATCCTGACCCAATTTCAGACCAAAAAGTGTCACTTTCCACACCCTTTTTCAGACCTGACCTCTAAAAACCACACCCGTTTTAAGACCCGACATTTAGGCAGAAATTATGTCAGAATTACAGTCAACCGGCCCTTTATAGCGGACACTATAGGGACCTCAAATTACGTTCCTCATCAGCGAGAGTCCGTGATAGCGGGCGTTTATTTTAGTCAAACGTCTGTAATTTGTTTTGCCGGGGAATTTAGTTGCTGTCCGTATTATCGGGGCGTCCGCAAGGCGAGAGTTGACTGTACGTATATTGCTTATATAAGGAAGTACCCCCCCGGTTTCGCTTAAGATCCCTTGCCTTTACAAGTATACCACACAGACAGTTACTTTTTTGTAAGCGATCTAACCACATTTTTCTACACTGGCTCCAGAGGTCCGTTCTCAGAAATTAGGTAAGAAAAAAATCCTCGGGCACCCAGGGTAACATTTTACATGAATTTGAAGGAACGCAATCGAGAGTTTCTATTAACAGGTCCAATGGTTTGAATTTTAAGAAATACAGAATACCAGGTCGGACAGAGCGATTGAAATGGAGCCTAGAACTACACTTTACTAATTCCCTGCTATACGAAGCTTTTAACAAACTACTTGGCCCCGGAAGAGGGGAAATTAGCGGTGTTTTAACACCAAACCAATGTTAAATTCCCTGCTAAGTCCCGGGGGTCGGGGGGCCTGAGTTTCAAATGACTGATGCATAAACTTAAACAAACGAAGCTGGTGACTAACCTGTTCCTGTTCAATCTCTTTTTTAGATGATGAATAAGCTCATTAATTTAACTGTAACCCGCATATAAGAACCTGCTTGATCTCGTTTGGCCAACCCGGTTCTTATATTGTTGGGTATTAAAGAAGCAAATTTCTTCCAGCAGGTTATTAAGCCACTAGGTTCTTACACGCGGGTTTTTACTGTATTTTAATACAGTAAAATAATAATAATAATAATAATAACTGAGTTAATTCTTTAAAAAATTAACTCAGTATCACCAACTCGGAAATCCCCGGTAATGGAGACTTATAAATGAAGGCTCCTGAACGTATTGATTATCTCTGACGGAGAGAAAAAAAGAACTGTTCACACAAACACCGAAAGTCTTACTAATATTAATAAGTAAACTTTCACAAAAATAGGTGAGTGATGACTAACCTGCTCCTGTTCATGCGCTGATTCAGGTGATGAATCAGGAAAGAGGTGAGGGTACTCGCTCTTCCAGTAGTTCTCTGATGGCCATTCACCCTCAGGTTTGGGGTTTCCTTCATCATCCTTCAACAAAATACAAAACAATACTTAAAACAACCCATCTCCCTTTAATAAAGTGTGGACGTGTAAACATTTGAAAACCTTCCTTTAAAGTACAATGCAATTACAGTGACCAACGAAAGACAATTGTTTATATGACAACAACTTTGACAAGATGTACTAATTTCAAGAAACAAGCCTCGCGTGCCGAAAGCAAAGATCAGCAGTCGAAACTTGGCCTATATAATAAAAGGCAGTCTGTGACTGCTTGTGGCTAGTGTTTTAGTTTTGTAAAATATATTGCGATAAAAAAGGAGTGAAATTGTAGGAAACGATAGTAATTCAGATTGTTTATCCATAAATATAATATCTTTGCTCTAGAACCGTATATATCTAACAAACAACAAAAACAAAACAAATAAGCAAACAAAACAAAAACGAAAACGAAACAAAAAAGAGAAAGACAGAAGGAAAAAAGAAAGGCTACTGAGCAGGATTCGAACCCGGCACCTTGACAAAAATTATACAAGCACAAGGTTAATGTTTTAAAAACAACTGACAAACTATTTTTAAGCGTCTTTACAGTTATTTGCTGGGAGAATTTTTTCCTAGCTAGCGAAGATTTTGACTTCCCTTGCGTGATGATAAGGGATGTGGGGGAGGACCCTCTCTCTCCAGCGTTGCGTGACATAGAGAGAGAGAGAGAGAGAGAGAGAGACCAGAACTGCACTAGACACACAGTGGTTACGCCTTCTTTGTTTGGTATGTTGGTGTAGAGGCGAAGCGCTGAAGGTCAAAAAACTTCCTTTACGACTAAGTTCAAGAAACGAGTGTTACCCGTCGCCAATTTTTAAACCAAGTTTAGGGAGGAGTGAGATTTACCCCCCTCTACCTGTCCCCTCTCGGCGGGATTGGAAAGAGAAACATTATCTTTATCAAGGCGCACCTACAAGAAATTCGCATTCAAAATAGTGGAATCAAAATCAAAATTAGCAAATCCTTTTTTCTTTCTTTTGAAAATACAGTCAGCCTTAGAAAATTCGCAGATCACCGTGATCACCGTTATTTTTTTCGGGCGGGAATTTGTTACGTAATAAAACGAAAGGCGGGAAAATGTCATCACGTGAAAAATCATCCGAGGTGGATTTAACCAATCAGCTGTCGCCACGTCACGAGGCTTTGAATGACATGGTTTGTTGTTTTTGTAGTTTGTTCAGTTCGCTCTTCAACGGCAAACTGTTCAGGATGAACTCAAAATTGAATAAGAAAACATCAAGGAAATGTTACCGGCAAAAGACAGGGATTTATATCTTTTTACTCAGGAATATGCTAAGGAGTTGTTCAAAGCTCAAGGAAACATCATTTATAAGGATATTTCACGAAAGTCCAAAGCTCCGCAGGATTTGATTTGTATGGCGAGTGTTCTAGGAAAATTGAAAACAAGCTCATGCTATTTACGCGATGAAAATCATGCAATGGACACTTATGCTATACAGTGGAGAAAAGCGAAGTGTTTATCTGTAAGGAAAATTTGTTTGGTGTTGCTTTCAACCGTTGTCTCGAAGATACAATTTTTTTGTGCGGGTTGTTATTTCAAAAACCAACCATGGCTTCACCGAACTGCAAGGACCAGTATTTACCAAAGAAACGCTCAAGAACTAACAAAAGAACAGCTATAAAAAAGACTTGTTTGTTTTCTGGACTTTCAAAGGAACTTCACTTGACTTAAACTGATTTTATAGGAGCCCTGGACGATAAATGTGAAACTGTGAGTTCAATGTGTTTACTCTTTGCTTATTTGTTTGAATTGAACATGAACTGAACATCTTTCATTTGCTTTTATGATTGTTGTTTGTTACTTTATGAAAAGGTATGAATTAAAATTGATTCAGAAATTAATTCTGTGGAAATTATATGATTTTGTTTTGCTGGAAGTTTTTGTTTTCACCCAATAATTTCACCTTATGGCTGCTTGAAGATACAAAATTTCTCCTTTTGTGTTCAACTCCATGTTTTAATATCAGCTGAAGTTACTTGTTCTTAACGTTCTCAGTTAAAACATTTTATGGAGTTAGTTTAATCAGTTGAAAGAAATGAATTTGAAATGATACTTTGAATCTGCTAAAGTTTGTGATTTGATTTCAAAAGCAAATCTCGTGTTTTGTCGAGTATAAAAATGACAAAGAAAGGAAAATGGCGAAAGGCAAGAGCTGAGTAGAAATAAACTGTAAACAAAGAATAAAGAAACAAATTGCGATAAAATTGGAAAACTTACGTGGTAGTCTGTCCACAGTTGAGTGATGTTTTCGTGCTGCTGTACAGCTGATGTGAGATTCATCACCTGCTGTGGAGTCATCTTCACTCCCCAAAGGTACAGTTTCTCCAGGTGAGGAGCGCAGCTGAGATGTTTTATCAAGCTGTCGACTCCTGCACCCAGAAGAGGATTGTATGACATGCCAAGCACCTTCAAGTTTGGAAGATCTTGTTTGAATACTCTGCTGATGAACTCCACAGCAGGTGATGATGTTACATTGATCCTACAGAGTGTTAAGTACTCCAGTTTGTGTGTTATTGGGATGCTCCTCAGTAGAGACTCTGTTACCTCAGCATCAAACACTTCACCGAGTTCACCCCAAACCCATATCCCGTGTGGAGCGGTGATAAACGGCATCATCTCAATCAGCTGTTCCACTTCTGACCTGTTCACATTCCAAGCTCCAATCCTCCGAACCCTTGAGAGACCATGACGCTTTGAACAACAGCTGCTGCTGCTCTCTTCACTTGACTCATCACCATTCATGTTTGTCTTCTTTGTTGTCTCTTCTAAACTAACTAACCTCTTTACCATTTTATATGGAAGAGAAGAAATGCTTCTTCTAGGATTTTTTACAATTCGAGTAAAATAAAGGTGAGTGTTGTTTTCTTCTTTCATTAAGAAAAACTCGCCAACACTACGCCATGGAAATACATTCAAAAATGCTGATGCTTTTTGTTCTCCTGTTCTACTGACTATAACAGCGTTTAATTGCTGTGCTAAACTTATTAAATTATTATAACTTTGCTCTGTATACTGGCCGCTATCAGAGAAAAATATGTACATAAGTGAAGCGGTAGTTTTAACAAAATTTTCCTTTGCTGCAATATTCAGCTGGTCAGGATTTAAAATGAACAAGACACCTCCTAGATTAGAAAGATAAGTGGGGAAAAGTTCTGTTCTTGTATCTGCTGAACAGCAGAAGAATAACTGTGTACATAGAGTTAGAAGATTTTTTTGTTCATTAGACAAATCTTCGACTGACGGTGCTTGGTTGTCGAAGCTGTACTCTCCGTCTTCCTTCGCCGCCATTTCCAACAAATGAATCAAGATGTCGCGCGCGGCTTCTTCTGACATTTCAGCAGCAAATTTTAAAACTTCATTTAACTTGAAGATCTTTTCAATTGAGTCGACTTTGAAAAGGGAATTGTTTTTACTTTCTTGAGATAACAGTTCTTCTTTTAGAAATAAAGAAGCCAAAAACTCCTGCATGGATTTATGAATGAAGTGCACGGCTTTGCACGGGTTAAGAGTGGACATGTTTAGCAGCTGAAACAACCCAGCTTCGATCAATTTCTCAGTCAAAACGTGATCTGGCAGTTTACTGAGAGGAAAGTAAAGTAAATCTTGTAGAAGTGCGTCAAAGGCTAGTTCTCCCAATTTACAGAGTTCTTGTTTGTGATCGTCAACTTTTTCCATCGGCTTTTTTTGTTTTTCCGACATATGATTAAACATAGTCTGTAGAAACTTGAAGTACACCATCACCCGTGATGAAGGTAGTCCTTCACGATCCTTTTCTTTCCAAACTAAAGACAGCATTAAAAGTACAATAGGTATTTTTGCTATATCCTCCAGGTCTTGTTGCACCAAGTATTCAAAAAACTCTTCAACATCTTGATCATCTTTCAAGAATCTACGAGCGAACTCTTCTTGTCGCTCACGGTCAAAACCGTTGATCTCAAATTGAGCATCGCTGGAACTTTTCAATTCCTCTCCTTTCATGTCTCTAGACGTTATAATAACACAACAATTCCTCAACTGCTTTCTCTCCCAGATTTGAAGAACAGGTGATTGGCTTGCTTCGCTGTGTACGTACTCATCATAGCCGTCCAAAATAAGCAACACGTTTTCTTGGTGGCGACGAACGTAATCGTACAGGTTGTCAGTGGAAACCGGGCCATCACTCGCGAGAAGATTAGCATCGTTCAGAATGGCCGGGACATCGTTGAGGTCGCAAACATCGCGTAATTTGACCAAAAGTACGAGATCAAATCTTCCTATTTTTCCCTTAAATCTGTGCTGGGACCAGTCGAATGTAGCTTTCTGCGTAAAAACGGTCTTGCCGATACCTGGTCGTCCGTGAACCAAAATGCGCTTGGGCGTATGATGAAGTCTTCCGCCGTCAAAAATGTCGGTATAGTGTTCAAGCTCCTTCTGTGTTACTCCGCTGGGATCCTTCAAATCCATAAGCCAAGACAACTGGGTGTAAACTTTGTCAATGTGAACGGCAGAGCTTTGGTCCCAAGGAACGATTTTGACTGTGTTGTTGTCTTCATAAATTGATCGCAGCTGTTTCTGGCACTCCTCGAGGCATAGAGAATCTGTTAAAGAAAATTTTATGTTCCTTTTTTCAAAGAATTGTTCGTTAATGACTTGATATCTTAATAGGCGAGGAAAGTTAAAGGGAGGTAGTTGACGCACAAAATATAAGCCCTGATTTATATACACTGATCAGATCACCAAATATAAATAAAATTTCCATATTTAAAAACAAATTATCCTCAACTCATGATACACCAACAGAAATGTAAGTAACAGTGTATGTATATATCAGGGCTCTAAAACACCAGAATATAGTGTAGGAATATAAATACTACGGTCAAACGTATAAGGAATGCTCTTTATTAATTTAATTTATTAATTCATTTATCTATTCTATTTTCTTCTTTTTCACCTGCTTACACACTGATTTTAATATGGATGGGGAGCTAACTAGAACATTTATTTAGCTTCCCAGCTCGCACTTATTGTTTCTCTTATATTATAAAGTCATAACCTAGCACAAATTTTAGTTATAAAAAAGTTAAAAATGTAATTTCGCCGTGAGCTAAATAAAGAATTATTAATTATTACAATTACAAATTATGAATATGGCGGGATGGGCAACCTTGGCCGAGTAACATGTAGATGTAAATATCTTTGAAGACTATATCAGTAAACCAAGTGTAAAGGGGTGTTACCCCAAGTAGAGAGGTTCAGGGAGGACAAGCCCATAGAAGGGGTACCTCTCCAAAGCTGTTAGTGACGTTTGTGGTTGGGTGCTAAAAATAATTCAGACTGCATCAGTAAACCAAGTGTAAAGGGGTGTTACCCCAAGAAGAGAGGTTCAGGGCGGACAAGCCCATGGAAGGGGTACCTCTCCAAAGCTGTTAGTGACGTTTGTGGTTGGGTGCTAAAAATAATTCTTAATTGTAATATAACAAACGATAACAGTCATTCATATAAATCTACTGTATGTCTGGTACCATTTCTGCTTTACTGGACATAGTAGTACCTGGTAACTCCTTCTGATTTGCTGCAAAGCCAGAGATCTGTTTCTTTGCTGACAGGTCTGTGAGTTAAACAAAATAGAATAAAAATTAAAGTGAGACATTTCAAACAACAGTTGTTCAAAATTATAAATCTCATGTATGTCTGGTACCATTTTTACTTCATTGGACATGGTAGTACCTGGTAACTCCTCCTTATTGGCCGCAGAGCTAAAGGGCTGTTTCCTTGCTGACAGGTCTGTAAGCAAAAGGAAATAGAATGAGAATTGAAGTGAGACATTCAAAACAACAGTTATCCAAAAGTATTTGGGAAAAATGTTCATGAATCTGTCAGTTTTTTTACTACTCAGATTTTAGTTTCTGGGTCTGAATAATAAAATTTCAATAACAAAAAGCACTAAGCAGCTTGTTTTGGGACTGGAAGCTGACATCCACTTAGCTTTACTTCATTGTGGGTGATAATCACATTTTAGTTCTTTAAATTACGGTATCTCTGGTTGCAGTGTGCACAGTTTTAGACAATAAATTTATCTTTTAAACTTGGTTATGCAGGATTTCTGCTGCACATTACATTGATTCTGAAAGGCATCTAGTAAGCAGTTGCAGTTCAAAAACATTTTCAAAACAGGAAATACACCCTTCAAATATTTCCTGGGCCTTTCAAAACCATAGCTATCAACCAATCAGAGGGTAGAGTTCTAGAATGATCTAAAACCAGAAAATAAAGCCTGCAGTGCAGAGAGCTTACTGGTTAGAGTTTAAGGCTGTCACCATGGTTTCAAGTTTCAGAGCAGGGAATGGAACATCCTGGAAATTCTTTCGGTCCTATTTTCCTTTTATTTCCTATGAAAATAACCAGGGGTCATGCTCATAAGTAGCCAGGGGAAATCCATGCCTCCCGGCCCTTAGTGACAGCCCTGTAAAGTTGGTTGCTATTGTTCTCAAGGAGTGGGAAGAGGGGGGGGGGGGGCTGTGAAGAAGGAGATACTACCCTATTAAACAACTGTAGTGCCAGTCAAATAAAAAATTCAAAAGCCTCCATAGAAGGTACAAGAATTTTGTCAGCATGGAAGAAATTCATTTTAAGCGCTATAAAAGGTACTAAAAGGAGGAGGAGATACTCCCCGTTAAAAATAGCAGAACTGCTTTACAAAAAAAAATTAAAGATAACAGGGGTGCTTGTCAAAAAAAAAAAAATTAATAATAATAATAAAAATATAAAATATAAAGCATCTCTAGAGGGTAGAAGAATCTTACTTTGTGGGCATGGCAGAAATTCACTTTAACCCCTGGGAGATACTAAAAGGAGGAGATACCCCTCTATAGATATAAATGGGGAGCTTGAAAAAAACAACAACAGAAACAAACAAACAAACAAAAAAAACAAGGGTTTTGTAAAAGAATAAATTAAATCCAAAAGTACCCCTAGAAAGTAACAGAATCTAGCTTTGTGGGAATGTAGGTAATTAATTTTAACGCCTCAGAGGTACCAAAAATTACTTGAGAAACAAAATAATTCCCACCCAACCTTACAGGCCCCTAACAGATACCACTGAAGCTCTAAACAAGAGTCATTTTAGCCTTTAGGTCCCTAAGTATGCACTTGCCGAGTACCAGCCCACAAACCTTACTGCCTAAATAGTATGATGAGCAGCCGGTCGATTTTATCAGGAAACATCTCCCTCCTGTCCTCCCAGCCAATATATTTCTTCACCTTTTCCTCATAATTTTTCTTTTACCTATGTTATAGTTTCCAGCAGTTGTGAGTTGACAAAGGAAACGTTGAACTCTACCCTTTCTCAAGTTTATTATAAAAAAAGATTAATTAACAAGGTTTGAAAAATGTGGCTAAGTATTTTAAATCAACCTCAGTCCTTAACCAAAAACACTTTTGCAAAAATGTGAAGATTTAATTATGATATGGTTTGATTAAAGAGTATATTGTCACCTACCTTCATAATGAGGCCATTGTTCAAACACAAATGGATCCTTCAACATGTTGGACACAAGGGAAGCTGCCATTATGCATGCATGACTCTTCCAAGAATTTTCTGCAGGGTTGTTACCATCGGCGAAGTGAGAAATACCTTTTACAATCACCCATTCAATCTTAAGATCATGTGCTGCAGCAAAAAGGCCTGGAAAAAGCAACAACAGATCACTAAAAATTCAAGATGCAAACAGATCCACCAGTAAGCATCACAGCCAGGGTTGATCAAGATGTGACAACATAAGCAATATTATTTACCATGCAAACAGATAGGCAGAAAATAGTAATAGTGATTTTAAAAGGCAGATATAAATAAGCACATTTAAAAAATAAAAATAAAAAAAACAGAACAAAGAAACAAAAAAACAGCTTATCCATTAGGATGTTAATAGAATTTAACTATCCTTTTGTATTTTATCCAAAGGAAAACACTACTTAAACTACTGTTCTTCAATCAATTTTTTATGCATAATTTAGTATAGAAAATACAGTAAGTTACACAAACATAGACATCATTGTCCAAACATAGAATAGATCTTAAAAGATCAGATTGAAAACTGGATCACAAAGGATCATAACCAGCACCCATTTACACACCTGGATGGCGAGGGACAGTGAATTAAAGTTTCTTGTCCAAGGAAACAGCACAAAGTGCAGCAAGGCCTTAACCTGGACCCTCTAGATCTAAAGTTTGAGATGTACACCACGGGCCACCACTCCTCTCGTAAAAAAATGTAACAAGATAAGAATGATGTCATTTAACAGGGAATAAATATCTTACCTTCACCACCAAATGCAAATGCAGTAGCTTCAGTAAAATGAGACACGTTTTCCTGTTTAGCACTGACTGGGTTTATGCCACTTAAAATCTCCCCATTACAGCAGACCTGAACTTTATGATCTTCTGGATTTCTTAATGGAGGAATCCAACCATGATCTGCAGACCTGATGAGGCGTAAAATATCTCTACCCACTGGGGTTTTGAATGATTCAGTTGTAAGCTTAGAGGATAACACCACATCACCCAGGTGTAACTTGGTGACTTCTGGATTCAACCCACCGCAGCAGCCAACATAGAAAACAGCTTTGGGTCTCAGTTCCAACACGGCATTCTTAACAGTGACCAGCGAGCCATCTGGAGCAGAAGAGGCTTCAGAACATGTCATCAAAGCAACTTTTAGGGGCACATCTCCATTTTCACCCATGTTCCCAAAGTACACATATCCAAGGTTCTTGTGGTAGCTTTTAAAGGAATTTCTCAAGTATGCATAACAGGCTAGGAACTCACAGTCATCCACTGTCAACAAAAGAATGTCAATTGGAAGATGGACTTCATTCCAAGGTTTAAATGTGTTAGGAAGATTGCTTTTCTTGGGAAGTTCTAGGGTGAGTGCAGGTGGAACATCTGCCATATTCTTATGAGCACTACCTCCTTTTCCTATTAAGTTCTTGGTGCTGTGCCATGGTGTCTCGATTAACAATTTCCCTAAAATATCAAAAAGTAAGATCACAAATTAAATTAAAGTTGTACAATGTTAGAAAGAAAAGATTATTTAAACAAAAATCTCTTTCTCTGACAGATATGTTCAGTTAAATCTCTTGTAACCGTGTTTATTATAGAGCTAAAAAATAGCCAACCCTTTAGTCTCATCACAACAGTTTTTGCTTTGTAATTTCATCTTTAATTGAACATGATAACTCTCATGAAAACGAAAGGCTGGTTCAAACTGTACAAGTGATACCAATGTAGATGCAAGTGCAGTGAGATATGTACTTGCATTTGAGTATCCTGCATCCCAACATGGTGGACAAAAACTTTTAACTTTCTGTTCGTATTTTAGTTCCTGGTTTACACATGTGAAATGCAAATGCATGGAGGAATGCAAGAGCGTTCAGGGCTTGAAATTAACAAAAAGAAATTTTTGTTTGTGTTCTTTGAGTTGCTGAAGAACACAGAGTGCTACTTTAATCTACCAACAAGAAATGCATTTTTGGGTGATTAGAAGATGCAAGTCAAGTTGTAATATCTTATTGAAACATATGGTGGCCAGGTCTTAAAAATTTAATGTAGATGACCTATTCCAAAGTTCCCCTAAGACATTCAAACAAATATAATAGCTTACTGGGCAGCTCCAAATTAACCAAACAGGGTTCTAACGCTTATAGATGGTTGTTGCGGTGATGTCATCAGGTTGTAAAGTCAAAATAGCGAGGTTTTACGAATTCTCATCTGCACAAAATTGAAGATAAACAAAAAAATAAATCCTTGTACAACTTTCCAGTCCTGTGGTATATATTATAGGGACCTTAAGATCCAAGGATGGCGACGGCAGAGAAAACGTTGCTGAAAAAGTTAATTCCCGTTCTTTCAATCTTCATCGCGATTACTCCAAGTCACTAACTTAATTTGTCAAATCTAGGTGAACCCCACTCAAGTTGCATCCTAAGAATCATAGTCATGTTCAAAAACAGGGAGAAAATTTTGTAGTGGCTTGCGTACTTCCTCTGTACAAAGTGAAATTAGGCATTTTCACGTCGTAGTCGTGAAGTGACAGCAACGAAATGTACAAAAACGCATGATGCACGTGTGAAATTGTTGTTTTCGTTATTATACCTATTACTTTTGTGTCATTCTCATTGCGGTCGCCGTCATCGGATCCCTATTTTTTATTTCAAAACTGCAGCAATTTGAACTCCCGAGTTTTCACAGTACGTGACACAAAATAGGAAAATGCTATCTTGATGAAAAAAGCCTTTCCTCTTGATTTTCAGCAGTTTAACCATTTTAAGTATCAGAAGATGTGTTTATGCACACATATGCTAGCTCCCAAGTGAAAAGAAAGAGCTTTTATAGAAAAAGTGAGCTCCGGATGTTTTGTTGATTTGGTAGCCATATTTGTGTACCAAAACTGTACACAAATGTGGCGTCCTCCTACAAAGCTCTACAATGGTGCATGACACGTTTCAGCAAAAAACTCAGAAACTGTGGACCTCACAGACCTGAGACTTGGACAAATTGTTTATATATCAGTCTTTTAAAACATTTCATTTTCTTGGCTTCTTCCACTGGACGGTTTCCAATTTATTTTTTTGTGCTGTGTTTATTGCGTGACAGTGAAAACGATCTATATAAAACCATCTGAAACACTTCTGGGGTCTTTAAAAACATTTAAGTCTTTGGATGCCCCTGTTAAGAGCACTAAAATCCCCACCCCTTGATGCCCTTGCCGGCTTTACAGTGATAAGTTCATTATTTCAAAAAAGAGAAGGTGGTCCCTTTTCAACTTCATTGGGGGTGGGGACATTTGGAATCTGCATGAACTGTTTTTTTAAGGTGACACAACTGGAATTTTTAGGGAGTATACCTCCCCACTTTGAGCGTTTTCAGTGTTAGCCACAGCAGCACTATATAAAGATGAAAATTTGTTATTATCTATCTAACTTGATATGTTATTAGGCGTGAAAAGTTAAGGGGAGGTGGTTGACGCACAAAATATAGGCCCTCATTTGTAAAAAGGGACCAGATCACCAAATATATACTTATAATTTGCATACTTAAAAACAAATTATCCTCAACTCATGATACACCTACAGAAATGTAAGTAACAATGCATGGAGACACCAGGGCTCTAACACACCAGAATATAGTGTAGGAATATAAATACTACGGTCAAACGTAGAAGGAATGCTCTTTATTAATTTATCTATTCTATTTTCTTCTTTTTCACCTGCTTACACACTGACTTTAATATGGATGGGGAGTTAACTAGAAAATCTAATTAACAGTTAATTTAGCTTCCCAGCTCGCACTTATTATTTCTCTGTATATTACAAAGTAATAAACTAGGACAAATTTCAGTTATGTTAAGTAAAAAATGTAATTTCACTGTGAGCTAAATAAAGAATTATTAATTTCTTATTACAATTACAATTATGAATATGGCAGGATGGGCAACCTTGACCGAGTAACATGTAGATGTAACTGTCTTTGAAGACTGCATCAGTAAAGGAAGTGTAAAGGGGCGTTACCCCATAAAGAGAGGTTCAGGGAGGAGACACCAATAGAGGGCTACCTCTCTAAAGCTGTTAGTGACGTTTGTGGTTGAGTGCTAAGAATAATAATAATTATTATTAGCAAAATTCTAGGAAAAAGATTGAATGAGAGAAAGGATTTGACTCTTGAAGTATGCCCCCAACATCATACTTCTTCTTTGCTACTTCCATGTACTTTTAAAATAAAAATAAACAATTGCTACAATAAAGATCCTTTTGTATATTGCAAATATATCACAAATGATAAACGCCATTTATATTGAAATAAGCGTTTCAAATCTACTCTATGTCTGGTACCATTTCTGCTTTATTGGATATAATAGTACCTGGTAACTCCTCCTTGGTGGCCATAGAGCTAGAGGGCTGTTTCCTTGCTGATGGGTCTGTGAGTTAAACAAAATAGAATAAAAATTGAAGTGACACATTTAAAAAACAGTTATTCAAAAGTATTTGGGGATGTTTATCAATCTGTCAGTTTTTTTGCTACTCACATTTTAGATTCTGGGTTTAAATAATAAAGTTTCAATAACAAAAAGCACTGAGCAGCTTGTCTTGGGACTAAAAGCTTCCATCTTAGCTTTTACTTAATTGTGGGGGATACTGACATTTTAATTCACTAAATGATGTCTGGTCACAGTTTATGTTTTAAATTTGGGTATGCAGGATTTTTCTACACATTAAGTTGATTCTGAAAGGCATCTAGTTAGCAGCTGCAGTTCAAAAACATTTTCAAAACAGAAAATAAGCCCCAAAAATATTTACTGGGCCTTTCTAAACCATAGCTATCAACCAATCAGAGGGTAGAGTTCTAGAATGATCTAAAACCAGAAAATAAAGCCAGCAGAGCAGAGAGCTTCTTTTATGGGTTAGGGTTTGAGGCTGTCACTATGGTTTTCAGTTTCAGAGCAGGGAATAGAACATCCTGGAAATTCTTTTGGTCCTATTTTTTGTTTTATTACCTATGAAAGTAACCAGGGGTCATGCATGCTCATAGTAGCCAGGGGAAATCTACGCCTCCCGGCCCTTACTGACAGCCCTGTAAAGTTGGTTGCTAGTGTCATCAGGGCGTGGTGGGGGGGAAGAAGGGGATACTACCTTGTTAAACAACTGTGGTGCTACTCAAGTAAAAAACTCAAAAGTATCCCTAGAAGGTACCGCAATCTTGCTTCGTCAGCATGGAAGAAATTCATTTTGAGATGAAATCCACCAGAACATTGAGTAATTTTGATTTTCAAAGGACAAAAATCTTGTACCAGAATAATTTAAAGCATATTGCATTCTTTTTTACATTTTCAAGGGCTAAAGATCATGATGTGATAAATCATCTTTAGTAACACCAAAAAAAATTTCTGATGGGAGCCCGAGAAAATAAAAGTCAAATTTCACAAAATTACATCTTACACACGCAATTTTTAGAAATTTTACCTGGCAGGTATAATGACAATTCTTGTGAAATTTGACATTCACTTTCTCGGACTTCCATAGGAAATTTTCTTTGGTGTAATTACAGATGATTTATTACATCTTTGGCCTATGAAAATGTAAAAAAAGAATGTAATATTCTTTAAATTATTCTGGTACAAGGTTTTTGTGCACTGAAAATTAAAATCACTCAATGTCCTGGTGGATTTCGTCCTAAGCTCTGTTAGAGGTACCAAAAAGAGGAGGAAATATTTCACTGCTGTGAACCTTGAAGAATTAATAGATACATGTAGAAGACAAAGTTTAGTAGATGGTTACTGTCAGGGAGCTGTTGTGATTCTCACATACAATGAATTAGTAATCTCTTATTCACCTGTAACAAAACTTGTGCTTGGGCCAGCTTGCTCAACCCTTCCAGATGGACCTTGAAATACGACAACAAATAATTAGTCATACACCACTGTCTTGTTCACAACTTATGTTGTGCAATGAATTGCTTAATTACAGACAATGAACTGGATCAAATGCTTTTTGTCTAATTGTAAGAGATTCATGGATCTTTTAATAAATCTTCAAAAAAAACCATTTTTTGAATTTTCTTCAACTATTTGTAATTTTAATATAATTTAACAATGAGTACTGGCATCTTTATGCCAATGACAAAATGTGTATGTTGTAGTTAATTTTTTGTCTCAGTTAATTTTGTTTTCTAACTAGTTAATTTTTTTCCAACTAGTTAGTTTTTTTCTAACTGGTTTATTATTTCTATCAACTGTCTAAAAAGGGATTTTCTTTTATGGGGTGTGGTTAAAAAATAGGGGCATGGTTTTTTAGGGGGTATAAAAACAAATGAAATAAACATTGAAACAATTATTGGGAGATGTCTTTTGATTACTTTCTCCATTCCCCACTGAGTCCCATTACTCCACTCACTACCCCCATTTACTCTACTACCCCTCTATTTTTTATTTTTTCTTTTACTACAACATTTGCACTTACCAAGCCTTGAACTCTC